TTGCAGATAAATTAGATAAATTAGATAATAATTTCATCTATAGTCTGAGTCTCATTCTTGTAAAAAATTTGTAAATTAGTTCCAGCCTGTGTCAACTCATATAGTTGCCCATAACAAATTATTAATAAAAATAAAGGCAAAACCTCACCTTAATACTAAAAAAAAAAAAAAAACAAATTAATTTTTTTTGAATAAATTTAATTTACACAATGTAAAATTAATAAAACCAATTTTAGAAGTGATTTAAGATTATATGAAAAACATTTAAAAGAAAAAAAATTAAGAATAAAAAAAAAATTTTAAAAAACTACAGAGATGATGTTTTTTGCTATAATTCTGTTACTTTTAGGCCTACAAGCTTCTTTTTAGACTTGTTTTGATCAAAAGAAAGTACTTAACAACTTTTCTTAGAACTATATAATAGGTTAACAAAACACTGTATTAGAAATATTTAATTGATTTTCATTACATTTCTTATGTGTCTAATGATTAATGAGTCATATTCGAGTCATCGAATCACGGGTTTTTAAGCGCAAAATTATTTTGGACCTTTATTTGTAATAATATTCAAATATCGGGCCTCTATCTGTAATTATTTTTATTTTGGGCCCTTATTTGTAATTATTTTCAAATTTGGGCCCTTATTTGTAATTTCCCCTATAAATAAACATATGTGTGAAATGGTATGCAAATAAATAAATAATTTTAATTAGGAATTGGCTAAATATGTTAATGTAGGTCAGATATTATATTAATGCTAGTCAGATATTATGGTAATGCCGGCCGAATAATCTTATTTCGGGATCATATTAAAAATCCCGCGCGTGCCCATCTCTAGTTATATGTAAGAATGTTTAATTTGGGCCCCCATCTGTAATTATTTTCATTTCTGGGCCTTTAAATGTAAATTCCTCTTTATTTTATTAACTACTGATATCATTAATGATCGCTTGAATCGTTTGATTGAATTTTCGGACAAGCACGTGATCATCTGAAACGGAACCTTTTCGATTTGCTAATTTTTAAGTAAATGATATATAAATATCGAAACGGAATATTGCAAATTTAGGAATTCCAAATGTAGTCCAGATCGATATGAAATTTAAAGGCAACCTACGTACGTTGATTCAAAATTTGATACTGCAATGTGTAATGCCTTTAAATTTAATTATATCATTTGCAATGCCATTTTAAAGCAACTTAAATTCCAAAGCGATGCCTTGATGAAATAATTTGAAATACGCTTAATTTTATTATAAGTTAAATTGGAATCCTTTAATGCTCGGGCACATTTTAGAATCATACAATTCTATGCCGAAGTATGATATGCATTTATTGCAGTATCGAATCTAAAACAATTATTAAATTTATCGATTATTACAGTATCATTCCGTTTCGACGTACAACATATACAGTACTAACTCTAACCCCAATTTAACTAGAAATTCTAAAACTACTTAAATCCTATTCCCACTTATGATATATATACCACTATACACTATATCAAAATTTATAATTCGATAGTTATAACAATAACAATATATTATATGTTTAAATATTAAAATCAGATTAATATATAGATAATTCCAGTTTTATTGTAATACGACTATAGCTTTATACACAGCTTTTATAAGTATTTTATTTACAAGCAAATATGAATATACAACAAGCGCAATAAAGTTTAAACCATTTAAGCGCGTTACGTAATTTTAAGAGGGGAGGGGGGAGGTTAGCAACTATATCATGTCTATATGTCGTATATAAAAAATATGCTTGGAGTTAATTCGAGTACCTGGGAGGGAGGGTCTGACCTTCTAATAAAAAGAAATTACGTAATAAACGGCACTTCCCTAAGCAACATGAAATACGCTAGTTATTTGTTAACACTATATAGATCGCATTCGGACGATGTGTACTAGTGATTTAGGTTGTGGTTGATGGTGTGGTGGCTGCAGGAGAAGGAGTTGTTACTGGTTGAACAGTTGTTCCTGCTGCAGGAGTTGTTAGTGGCTCAGCTGTTGCTGGTAAAGGTGCAGCAGGTTGAGGTGGTTGTGGTGGGGGTTGTGGTGGTGCTTGCGGTGGTGGGGGTGGTAATATAACATTACCTTCATTATTAACATTAATCGCAGCGGGTGAAGTAATAGAAGTACGTTTTCCCCATTTACTTTGACCATCAATAACTAAATAGAGTCCGCTTGTACGTCCCTGATCACTAAGCCGTTTTGGAAGTTTTTCTTTATCATAATCAACCACCATATCTTTATAAATATCTTTACCCTTACAAGTTTGATATTTGAAACCATCTTTTTCGCCACAATCCCACGATAAATCACTCACTTTAACCACCCAAGGCTTAGTACCCCATTCCCCAGCTTCACATTTTTCATTATGTCTCGCATCAAGATAACCACCTCTCTTTTTATAACTTGATTTTGAATCATCATAACCATTACACCCATAACCTTTTGTATACTCCATGTATAATTGTTCAGTGACATTATAAATAATATCTCCACAACCATTCTGAATTGTCCAACAATAATCCCAGCTACCTGGTTTTTGAAATCCCGATTGATAAGTACCAGTCAACCATATATCACCTTCTTGGTCTTGATAAAATGACATCTGACCTTTAATATCCATTTCAAAGGTAGCCGAGAGCAAAGCATTACGACACGATTTTTTATTTCTTTTATTAAGGTCATTCAAGTTAAAACTAGCTTCCGAGAAGGAGACCATTAATATGGTCCAAATCGCCAAAGGAAAAAGTTTATTCAAATACATTATTTTTTAAATTGAACACGACCTATCAGATGTAGGTGTTGAATTTATTATATATATTATAAAAGTATTTGACGAAAAACGAAAAAGCTCAGGGATAAAGCACACTTATATACTTATTTTTTCCATTATGATTTATCAAATTGAGCTTTCCAAATGAATTCTCAGAATAAATTTTCGTTTTCTGATGTTGTATGATTATTGCTCAAAATAGATAAAATCTCGATCTTATTTACTGATAACATGCAATTATTACAAAAGAAATTGTTACGAAATCTTTAATATTATCAATGAAATACTAAAATTATAAAGTCATTTTAGTGCCAAATCTTTATACAAAATGTAAAGGTCATGTATAAATTAATAAATCAAAAAGAAAGATTTACCGAATTTTGTTGCATACATTCGTTTGCATATTTGTGTAATTTTCTAAAAAAAAAACCGGTATATGCATTTTTTTTTAGGATCTGGTTCCATGGACTTTTTTTCTGGTTCCTTAAATTACAAATAAAATAATTGATTTACTTTTACATAACAAGCAAATATTGGCAATCAATACCGTCTATTTTGTATTTCTCATTTATCAACAGGTCTAAGCCCGAATCTCTCCGTTATTTATAAGTATATCAATAAATGGCGGTCTACGACTTAAGGAAATCTCTATTTATAGATCTAATTTCCTATAATGTATGTACGTATTTGAGTGCTCGATACGAACATACACACATACGCACATATGCACGTATGTACTGTATGTATGTGCATTGATGCAGTGTCAACTATTTTGTAAATTTCTTTCGATATTCAATTTTCTTAATTTATTTTTAATACTTAAACTAATATGGCAATGGGTCTACATAACTTATTGTAAAGTTTATCAGCTATTCATAATCTTAATAAATTTATAATTCTGTTTAAGTGAAATAACATTCCCTAATAAAAACTTTTGTTCCAAGACAAAAACTGAATTTGGTAATTATTTTAATAGCATTATATAAAATAATATTTACGTTGCATTTATGTACTGTACGTACAGTACGTTATAATTTGAATTTTAACAAACCAAAAAAATTCTATTGTTGTAACTAATGTTATACTGTCATACATAAGTTATATCATTAGAGTTAGCAAATTTCCATCTTATTTGATCGTTGACTAATGTAGCACATGGATATATAGTTTAATTTTGTTAAAATATAATAATGCGTATTGGTAATATAATATGCAATGTTTTGATAATAAATGTGGTGGCTTAACGTTAAGCTGAGATTTTAAAAAATTTTAGGTCTTTTTTGTTAGCTTTTTTGTTAGCTTTTTTTTTATGATTAGCTTATGGTTTAGGGGTAGTTTGATAATAAAAAAGTATAAGTGGATTTTAGTAGATATTATAGGTTTAAATAGGGACCAAAGATACCAGCATAAGCTGCTATAATAAATTCTTTATATAATTATATAAACAGAATTTTGTAAAGAGTGAAATAAGTAATAAAAATTTATATTTCGTCTTGACAATTTATCATGACGATATGATGTAATATAACTATTGTTAAGTCATATTAAGTGCAGTATCAAATTTAAATCTTGATATTAAATTTAGAATCAACTTATGTGGATTCTAAATCTACAATAAGTCTGTTTCGACATAAAACATAAACGCTATTAGAGAGATAGGTTCCATTATTACCAGTAGATGCTTGATTCTTTATTGACAGGTCTAAATTGATCGATATATATGCTGAATTTACTCTATCAACATTTTTTTTGCTTCATTAATAATAAATCGGATTTATCTAATGATTGTATTCAGTTGAACACAATCTTGTGGATATATATCTGTGAGTAAACATATCAAAAGAAACAACAAAATTCATATTTTAAACACTGAAGTTTATTTGTCTTGAGTCGTAATGTTCTATAGATATTATTTAATTTAGGCGTCTCCCTCAATGTATTTACCAAACGATCTAATTGGGCTTTGGGCTAAAAGTTAATCGTAATTATCACACAGAAATTTAATACCTTGGTTTTAATAACATGAACCTTTTAAATAGACCCTTGCCAGGCAACTTCTTTTTTTTTAAAAAAAAATTTCATGTATAAAAATTCACACGGTTATTTAAATATATAAAAATTTTTTCTACGGGTTTTCAAATTTTGACTCGGCCTGATTATGAAAACCAATTAATTAAATTTACATGGCCTTAGGTCAAAAACTCTTGAGTTGCGACTAGAGACGTGCCTCTCGCGCGAAATGCTGATGACATAATAAATTATTTATATTATCTCGCGCGAGAATCAATTGAATGACATCAGCATTTCGCGCGAGAGGCTCATCTCTAGTTGCGACCACCATTTTTCTAGGAGGGAAGCGGTGCCAGTCTAATAAATTTCGCTATCACGTGATAAGATGATTTCGCCGCCATACATAATCTTTAACTACCGCTTATCACTATAATGCAATTATTGTTATTATATAGTAAAATTGATTTAATAATGATAAATGATTAATAATCATTATTTAATTATTATTTTATGAATTTTTTTCTTTTGCGTTTGTCATCTTTTCAATAAATTTTTTATTATGGATAACGATCAAGAAAATTTGGTTGAAAAACAAAAATGTGATCATTGTAAGGGTTGGTATCCCAAGGAAAGTTTTATCGGGTTGCGAGGAAGGATGGGAAGAAATTATAGAAATATTTTTAGGATTGTTAGAATCTTATGAAGACATCGACAATACTGAACCTTGCCAACAAACATTTAATACAAACATCACAGTTCATCTTAATTTGTTTTTTGATCGTGTTGATGAAACTAATAAGGATGAAATTAATAAACACGTTGCTTATCAGATTATAAAACTTATCTCTAAGGCTGATGGATATACTTACATTTATCATACTTATAATGAATTGAAAGATGGTGTGTCCTTTGAATTTTACTGTAATTGCAAATTGGAGAGAATAAATAAAAAAGCACGAATTGAAGATTTTGATAAGCAATGAGACACTGAGTCCCGACTTCCACGATTTGAATGCGAAGGGTATATCCTTATTATAATTAAGCAATCACATGAATTAGCCTATATTCGCATCCATCATCTGCTGCATCCATGACCTCAGTCTGTATTCATATCATTTGAAATTAAAAGTTACATTCAAAACAATCGGCTTCTTACAGTGCCTCAAATATATTATAATATAAAGGATTTATGTCTCGATGGCTATCTTTATATTACACAATGTCAAATTTATTACTAGTTTAAAAAGTTGGGATTTGACGAATATAGAATGGCTGAGGATTAGGTGGAATCAACAATTTTATACCTTTCAAAGTTTACTACATTTAAAGTAATTATTCAACAGCCCACAGCTATCGCTTTCATAACCCCTTTATTTAATCTTTTTTCAAAAGAACTAATTATTATCATTGTTGTCAATACTATGTTTAAGACTAATCAACTAAAATATGAACTTTACGCAATTCTTGGAATAATTGATGAGGCCGGATTTTCTTTGACTTATTTATTTTTAAAACCTAATCAAGAAGAAAAGCGTTCAACAAATCTTTTAAACTGGTTTAACATAATTAGGCAATAGGGTATTTACAATGTTAAAACCTTTTTAACAGACAAAGATTTTTCTCATATCACATCTGCTCAGAAAGTTTGATCTCAAGCATGGGTTCAATTATGCTATTGGCACGTTTTTCGTGCTATAAAAAAAAAACTTTCTAATACAGAGATCATTTACTCAGCATATAATGCATATGAAGCGCATGTTACTTGTACAATAATAGATCCGACTTGACAACCTAAACCAAGAAATCAACAAGTGCTTAGTGAACTTTCGGCCACAAATCTTCCAGACAATCTGTCTGTAGTCAATCTGAATAAATACAAAGTTTTTTGTCGAAAAGATCAGTGTAAACATATTATTCAATTGGTTCGATTTCATTTTTCTTTACATCCTTTAATTCCAACTGAAAACTGACCCCAATTTTATAATTTAAAAGCAGTTTGGGAGTATTGTGTTAAAGAACAATATGAATATTGTAGGGTCAATGATTTTTCTCATGTTTGGGCTTACCTATGAATTGAATAGTATAGCCCAGAACATTGGAATTTATGGGCATGTTCTGCTACTAATTCTGTTAACATTTTATGATCAACAATGACAATCGAAAGTCATTGACGAATAATAAAGCATGATTATCTTTCAGAATATAATCATGCACGTTTAGACTTATTAACATATATAATTGTAAATCAAATTATACCTGGACAAGTAGATCGATTACAGCAATTACAAGATGGTAGAACCATGACATGTTTATGATATAATCTTAAAACAGAATGACATCAACTTAGTAAAGTACCAATTCATCCTAATTCACAACAAATAACTGATACTAAACGATGGGTATGTTCATGTATTAGTTTTTTATTTAGCAGATTTTTTATCTATAAACATTTAATTCAACAAAGAAACACTATTTCTCCAGGATTTTTTAAAAAAGTTCATCATCAAGGATTTTATCTGTTTTTATAATTTATTGAACAATATGATAATGCTTTTAAAGACCTGCCAAAGAATTTTTTTTAGTTGCTTTAAATGAACTACAAGTTGAAAGTATTGCCGATCAAACCAATTCAAATATAATTTCTCAAGACCTTATTATTAAAGATCATGTGATTCCTCAAGACTATACAACCTTTCAGGACTGTACAAACTTTCAAGATCATACGGTCTTTCAAGATCATCAAAATCACATAGTCACGCAAAGCATTATAACTACTCAAGAATGTACAATTTCTGGTAATAAAAGGCTCATAGATTATAGGAAAGAAGAGCTTTATTCCTTATTAGAACGTGTCAAGGTTATTATTGACGAAAATACCCAAAGTCAAAATGCTGAAAGGTGGATTAATTCAGTTGATAAAAATTTTAATGTGTTGCGTAAGATAGTCAATGATTGTGAACAATTTAATAGGCAAAAAAAAA